GCCTAATTCTCCTCTTGACACCGGTCTCTCCGAAGAAAAGAAACCTGGATATGCATCTTCCACTTAACTGCTTCTTGCCATTGTACTCGGCCTTGCTCAAAGTAGCCGCCAACACAAGCAGGAAAGGCCAGACAATGTTGATAGATCATCCTTTATTATTCCAGAAGTTGGGGCAGAAACAAAATATGAAGGTTCTGATGCAGGGTAGATTGGGGTTCCCTTTTGGGGTTCTCAGCCTCTTTCATAAACTAATTTAGGAATGGGCTCAAATGGCAGCTCCAGGACAGTTTTACTAGTGTAAAAGACCCCACCCACCCCAGAGAGACCAGCTGTAAGTCTCAGCAGCTGCCTAAAGGCGGGGAAGGAAGAAAGGAAAGAGCCGGCGGCAGGGAGGTCAGGAACTCGGTGGAGAAGCAGCCATGTGGCGGAGAGGTGCTTCAGAGAAAGACCGGGGAGCTCCAAATTGCCAGGGAAGCCCAAAGAGTAAGGGGAAACACAGTTAGAGAAAAGACAGCAGGAAGAACGGAGAAAGCTATGCTTTCCTGAACACGACTTGCAAAGCTACAATGGCTTCTTCAGTCTGGTAAGCCACTGTGGTAGTGGTGGGACTAACTGTCCTGCCTATCTTTTTTTTTTTTTTTAACGGAACCCACCTCCCTTAGGGTGGTTGACTCCACCAACTGGAATGTCAGGACCCCACCCTGGCCAGAAGGAGTTCTCTCCTAATGGGCCTTCACTGTTGCTATGACAGTTCCTGTTCACCCCTTGTGGTAGGGAGTCAGCAAATGCCACTGGGTTACTCTCCTTCCTCCCTGAGGAGTTCTCAGGAAAATTCTGACTAGATAAGACGGAGCCACATCATTCTGTGACACAAAACTAGCCCCACTATGTCTTTACCAGGAAATCAGAGCAGGAGCCAGGTCTACAGCTGGACATCCTCTGGGTTTTTATCTGTCTCAAAAAAGAAAAAAAAAAAAAAAAAAACAAGAAACTAACCACAGAGCTGGGTGACCCCTGCCTTTTGATGGAGAAATCACTCAATCCCATGAAGGAGACTAAAGACAGAAAAGCCTAGAGCATGCTGGTGTTCACAAGGAAAACCTTTGCTAGTTCAACCCTCTTCCCGGCCCCACCCCCTGCAAGATGGGACTTGCAGCAAGATGGGTATCAGAATAGTACAGATTTGTAGGACAGAGAGGAAGAGGAGGAGCTTATGGGGCTGAGACTAGACAATCTGTCTCTCCCAAGCTCATGTTTAGTCCCCAGAGTCCCATGTTAAAAGTATCAAGAGGGTAGAAACACGATCTGACCACAGCAGTAGGGACAGAGTCTTTTGAAAGTCGTTAAGTTATTGAGGTGGAGCCCCATGATTGGATTTTGGTGGCTTTCTAGAGAGGAGACCATACTCATACCGATCCAGGGCATAGTGAGTAGACAGGAGTTAGGCTGGCTTGAGGAACACTGGACCCTGGTAGCTGTGTTTCCTCTCAGTTAGAGTGTCCCTTTGTGGTTTAACCACTGAAGCCACACTTGTGTTCTGGCTGTATCAGAAATCAAGGCTCCAGGGCAATAACGCACAGATGTTGCGTTGGTGGAGACATGGAGCCACTAGTTCATCACTTGATTTGGGGTTTGATTTTCAGTACTGCCACAGGGTAGGGGTGTGTGGGGGGACACATGACACCAATCTCCCCTGTCCCCGCTCCCCCCATCCCCACACCAAACCAGACTACTAAAACCACGTGGAGAAGGGCAGGGAGAAAGGACTAGCTGGAAGGATCGACAGTAAGACCCCTGTGTTTGACTTTCAACTAAGCACTGATGATTTGAAGTTAAGAAAAACATTCCCGGGCAGTGGTGGTGCACACCTGTGATCCCAGCCCTTGGGAGGCATGTGGATCTCTGTGAGTTCGAGGCAGGCCTGGTCTACAGAGTGAGTTCTAGGACAGCCAGGGCTGTTACACAGAGAAACCCTGTCTCAAAAACAAACAAACAAACAAACAAAAACCCAAAGCAAAACAAGAAAAGAAAGAAAGAAAAGAAAAGAAAAACATTCCTTGCTTCCCTGACTACCCAGGCCAGTCAGAAGGAGGAACTAAGTAGACTGCCTGGAAGAGCCCAGGCTGGAGCAGAGCTGGGAGCAGGTACAGGAATTGAAAACCCTGACTCCTGCTGTTGTTGCCTGTTTGTTAGATCAACTCAGCTTCACAAATTCACTCTGAAAGCTTCCTAGCTGTTAGGGATAGTTCCAGGTTTAGGGCAGAGTGTGAGCCAGCCAGCTGTAGTCCTGGTTTCTAAGAGCAGAGAGAGTTAAAGAATCATAACATAGTGTGGCATGTGCTTCAGGAGTCAAACCTCCAAGAAACTCTAAACCGCCACTGCCCTCACCTCCGGATGGGAAAGTGAAATAAGGGGAGGGGGACACGGCTCCTCCTAAAGTAGGGAGATTTGTGCTGTAGATACGAGGGAGAAAGCAGGCAGAGGGGAGAGTCCGGGCTGAACACGGCCAGCGGACTAAACCAGACCATGAGAGAGAGAGGGGGAGGTAGAGCAAGAGAGGAGCCAAAGACCAAGAGGGAGCCTAGGCCAAGAGGCCAAGAGACTAGTGTAGCCAAAATGGTTGAGTTCTATAGGATCAGGCTGGGGAAGGGAGGCAGAAGCCCAGACCCTAGGAGAGGAAGGTTTAGGGTAAGAGGCGGGGTGAGAAGTGCTGGGAGGAGCCACAGGTACTGAGTGATGCTGGGAGAGCTGGGGGAGCCACCAGAGTGATGCTGGGAGGAGAGCTGGCCATCGTCCACTTGGATATGTTAATAGGCACCTTAGTCAGCCATTTGTTCTGGCTTTCTGAGACCTAACAACCTCCAAAGTCCCAACTGTGGGCATGCTCAATCTTCATAATCGCATTCAATTATTGGTTTCCAGTCTCATTTGCCACCATTTCTCCAAAAGTTGGAGACTTAGCCAAGTTTAAGTGCATATGTGTGAATATAAATATAAATAAGCCAGGAGATTATATCTGTATCTATATCTAGGCAGGGTGTCTTAGTGTTTCTATTGCTGTGAAGAGACACCATGGCTACAGCAAATTATAATTGAGGTGGCTCACTTACAGTTTCAGAGGTTCAGTCTATTATCATCATCTTGGGGAGCATGGTGGCTTGCAGGCAAACAATAGCATAGAATCCTACATCTTGCAGGCAACAGGAAGTTGACTGAGACCCTGGTCTGTATCCTGAGCATAGGAAACCTTAAAGCCCGCCCCCACAGTGACACACTTCCCTTCCTCCAACAAAGCCATACCCACTCCAACAAAACCACACCTCCTAATAGTGCCACTCCCTATGAGATTATGGGGGCCAATTGCATTCACACTACCACACAGGGTCTCACTATGTACCCCTGGCTGGTCTAGAACTTGCTATGTAGACAGGCTGGCTTCTAACACACATATATCCTCCTGCCTCTGTCTCCTGGGTGCTGGGATTAAAGGTGTGTACTATCATGCCAGGCCTCTCTTCTTACGATACTGCTTGTTACCTCCTCATGTATACTTAAACACAAAGCAAATCCTCCCAAAGCTTTAGCCCCTTGTCTACCTCTCTAGGTTGTTAAGGTCCTTAAAACAGAGTTCTAAGTGCAGGGCTAAGAGCTCTCTCCCCTGGTGCCAGACAGATGTAGGTGATCTTTGCTCAGTCAGGAGACTTCAGGCCTTGGACATTTCAGCTTCTGTGCATGTTAAGGAAAACAATCCTTGATCTGAGAAACACAACTTGTGCTCATAGTTCAATTCTTGGCACACAGAGGGCTCAAAAATGATTATTCAGCCATGTGGGGTGGTGCATACCTTTAATCCCAGTAGTTGAAAGGCTGAGTAAGGTGGCTCTCTGTGAGTTTCAGGCCAACCTGGACAACATCATGGGTTCCAAGTCAGCCAAGGAGGGCTGCATTAAGTCAGACCATGCCTCAAAAAGTAAATGAAAAAAAAAAAATGACATTAACATTAAAGTGTCAGGCCAGAATTTCAACTTTATGAAAGTCCTGGCTGTGAGGTGGATCTAGGAAGGGTTAATAATCAACTTTAGCAGGTTTTTTTTGTGTGTGTGGCTAAGAATGAGAAATATGCACCTTGTACTTTGCCTTAAAGACCTGCCAGTTACCTGGGTAAACAAATGGAAAAGCATTAATAGTTCAGGTTCAAAAGCGCTGGAGCAGTGAGTCTTGGATTTTAGCATCTGAACTAACCGAAGGTCATTTTCTAAGGAAGGGCAGCTGCCCTGCCCCCATTTTCTGATTCAGTAGGTCTGGGGCAGATCTACTTTCCCTGCTAGCTCCCAAGCCACTGTTGCTGTGTTGACAAGGTTCTCTCCCTGACCAAGCTTTGGTCAGGCTCTACTGAGCTCCCCTTGAATAGAACTGACCTCTGTCTCAGGTCCTATCTTACAGAGTGTAGCTTTACCAAGAATCCTAAGTCGGCCAAGCCAGAATCCTCCACCCTTGATAAGTGATCACCCTCAATATTTGAAGGTTCCTCCTCCACTGTCGCCCAAGTGACATCTGAGCACCCTGGCTTGCCTTTAGCAAAGCACACCTTAAGTGTGTCCGATTGTCCCTTACCCTTGCTGTTTCCTCTTAATTTTCCATCCATTGAACCCCCAACTCAATAAATCTTGTTCTTGTCGTATTGAGAGTCGAGGCCAACCTCTCTCCCCTATTGACCAGTGGTCCTCACACCTAAAGCAATGGTCCCTGAAAAGGTTTACATCTCCATCCTGTGTCAAGTGTCACGAACTTAAAAGATATCAAAAAACTTGTTTGTGTGTCTGAGTTTGGGTGTGCATATGTGGAGGTCACAGGACAACCTGGGGCGTAGAGGGTCACTTTCTTTGTGTGAGGATTGGGTTTCGTTTGCTGCTGCATACGCCAGGCTGGCTGGTCTGTGAGCTTTCTGTGATTCTCTTATCTCTATCTCTGTCTCTCATCTCAGCTAAGCAACCTCTTACACTCATTTCTCTGGCTGTACGGAGTTTGGGGACCCCATCTCTGGTCCTCATACTCGTATTGGCAAGGACTTTAACCACTGAGCTGGTTAAATCTCTTAAAAGCCCTTTTAAGAGATTCTCCCTTTTAAGAGATTCTCATAAGACTCTGGAGCCCAATATCTAGTTCACAAAACATTTCAGTCTTGGCTCCATATCAAACCTACTTCTGTGCGCGTGAAATCTGGATATAAATTATTGCATGAGTAAGTTGTAAAAGCAAAATCTGGCACAGCATTTGGTAAAAGTTGGTTAAAGCTTATTACGTATTCATTCTAGGGGGGAGTGGGTCGACAAAGCCTGGAGTCTGGATGGCTAATGCAGAGCAAGGGATTAAGTCCTTGTCCTGTGCAGCCACACGGGAACAGATCTGAGAGGCAGGTATTTCCTGGTACAGCCCGGCCAGACCTCCTTGGGCCCGGAAGACAACGCCAGAGGCTGCCAGGAGCATTGGTCTCAGCGACAACGCGCAGGCGCAGACCCGCTTTGGCCACGGTTTCCGCGCATGCGCCCTCGGGTGCGCTGGGCCGTGTGGCACGCTGGCAGAGTAAAAATGGCGGCGGCGATTCGGGCGGTGGCGGTTGGAGCGAGGCTCAGGGGTCTCCATTGCGGCCTCCGCACCCGGATCCGCGGCCTCTGCAGCCAGCCTGTTTCAGTAAACGAGCGCATCGACAACAAGCGCCGTACCGCGTTGCTGGGCGGAGGCCAGCGCCGCATAGACGCGCAGCACAAGAAAGTGAGTCCAGGACGCCAGCGCGTCCCGCCCCTCCGCCCGCGACCTATCACGGTGCGCCGGGCTCGCGGCGCCCATGGCCTCCCAGCCAATAGGTGCGGCGCCTGGGAGGGGCGCGGCGAGAACTTTCACCTGGAGAACCCAGGGCTCCCGCGGGCGTCAGTGGAGGAGGAGGAGCATCTGTGTGCTTAGCAACGTCCCCAAGTGGTGGTGGGCATGGATTGGCTGGCTGGCTGGATCTGACTGGTCTCCAGCAGCGCTCCACCCGAGCAGCTATGAACTTTTGGGAAAGTTAGTCTCTAGAAATCATCTTAAACAGAATAATGCCTTGTTAGAATAAAATTGCTTCATGAATCGGCAATAGGCTCTCAATTTTAGACCCGATTATTCTCGTGCTGTCTGAAAGAGTTGTGGCTTTTTTTTTTCCCTTCAACGATGGAAAGCAATAAAACCGAGGCGCGTAGTATTAGAAATAGCTTGGTTACATTCACATTAACCTGGAGTGGTGGTGGTGGTGGTCGTGTTGGTGGTCATGATCTCCGTGCGTGCAAGGACCTGGTGACACCTGTGCCTGAGGAAGTCAGGTCGGCCTCTTAAGAGTTTCGGCTTGTGTTGATCTACTGGGTAGGAGGCAGATGGACTTTTATAAACTCACAAACTGCTCTGCAGTTTGGCTAGAGTGGGCAGCCGAGGCACTGACACACTGCCTGGATTTTCAGGCGAGAATCACAGCTTCAGAGATAAACTGGGGAGGGCGTTTAGCAGCAGAAGAATCAAGCTGGGAGAGGTGACTCTCGACTTGAAGCCAGACTTGCTCACTCAGTGTGGCCTTGACTCATGCGTGATTCCAGACCTGAGAGCCCCATATGAAGAGCACACAAGTCCTACTCAAGTGTGGCAAAAGATTTTTTTTTTTTTTTAGGGGCACAGGGGATTGGTTTTGGTTTTTCAAGACAGGGTTTCGCTGTGTAACAACAGCTCTGGCTGTCCTGGAACTTGCTTTGTAAACCAGGCTGGCCTCCATAGATCCACCTGCCTCTGCCTCCTGAGTCAACGGGGGTCGTAAATCTTGGTCAAATGTTGATTCAGATGTCCTGAGTTACCATTTGAAAAAGGCCTAAGGATTTGACACTTAGGAATGTAAATGTAGTTGAAAGGTTCCTGGTGAGCAATACTCTCCCTCACTCCCTTGGGGTCCTGGTGAAGGACCAGTAAGTTTCCTGGGAAAGCCTGTGACCTCTCTCAGGGCTTGTTGCTCAATCCCTCCCAAGAGCATTGGCCCAGCCCCTCCCTCCTGATTCTCTTAGAGAGAGGTCTGGAGAGCCGTTTTTGGCTGTCAGAGCTAATTTAGTTGGGAGGCCAATTTGTGCTCTTAATTAAGCAAGTTTTTCATTAGTTCCATAAGACAGATTTCCTAGAAGTGGACCAGGAAGTATGAATATTTTAAAATCGATCACTATATGTATCCACAGTTTTAAGTTGCTTTCCCCCAAAGTAAATTTGTTTTCCACAAACTTACTGGCTTTCACTGCTTTCCTAAAATAACTAATTTTAAGGGTTTTGTTTGTTTGTTTACTGTGTATATGTGTATACACAGTAACTGTATACATTCTTGGCACAATGGGCTAAGGACTTTATCGAGAGTTGAGGTTTTGGGTGCCTAAGGAGTGGAGCCTCTTGGTAGATTGAGGGCTTCAACTTCATCTGTAAGAAGTATTAAATTCCGAGATAGGATCTCATACAGCCCCAGTTGGCCTTGAATTTTCTATGCAGCCAACAATGACCTTGAACTTCTGATCCTTCTGCTACCTCCCCAAGCTCTGGGATTATAGGCATTCAGTACTGTATGCAGTCTGTGTGGTACTGGGAATCGAACCTAGGACTTTTGCACATGCTAAGCAAGCTCTCTAATAGCTGAACGGTCTCTCCAGCCATTTTATTTTCTTTCTGTCTTTAAAACAAATGCCCTTCAACCCGAGAAACTCTCCTTTCAAACAAACTCCCCAGCACTCTTTGCCCCCTCCCCCTTTACTCAGCCGCTCCCTGCTATGGCGTCTTTAAGCTGGGATTCCCATTTAGGCTAGAAGAAGAGAAAGCCCTTGTGAAGGTAGAGGAGAACCCAATGGTGCCCTGGTGCGGAGGCTGAGAGCTGGAGGGAGGGGTTGTGTCTGGTTGAAGTGTGCCTGTTTCCTCCCTCCTCCTCCTCCTCTCCTCCTCCTCCAGATTCCACTGCAATCCAGGGGCAGGCTTTCTTTACCCCCACTTGCCCCCACCTGTCCCCCTCCTTTTGATTTACCTTCCACAGGCAGGCAGATCCCAAGCACCCTGTCTACCTTGCTTTCCTGGCCGGAACAAAGTCTATTACTCTCACCCGTCCACTTCGGGCAGGACGGACAGAATGGAGCCTTTCACATTGGGGTAAAGAGGCATTGTGACCCCGGCCTTCCTGCTAACACACCTGCCTTAACTTGGTCTGTGATGACATCACCAACTGCTCTTTTGTTGTAGGGAAAGCTAACTGCCAGGGAGCGGATCAGTCTCCTGCTGGACCCTGGCAGCTTCTTGGAGAGTGACATGTTTGTGGAACACAGATGTGCCGACTTTGGAATGGATGCTGATAAGAATAAGGTATCTTTATTTGTTCCAGTGGTGGTGTGAACACTTTCTGTGGCTTGCTGGCCTTTCCACCAGAGCAAAGAGTCCATATAGCTTTTTTCTCCAGGCATGTGCCACTCTGTCCAACTCTGCTATGTTTCCTTATGTGTTCCTCTCAGAGGAAGTGGCAGTGGTGGCCCTGGGAACCTCATAGTTATATTACCTTTCTTTTAAAATTTTTGTTTATTCATTTTGGTGTGCTGGGGATTAAATCCTGCTTTGGTTTTTAGTTTGAACTTTCCTCAATCCAAACCTTAGAAAATTTGGTGTTTTGTTTGTTTTTCATTAAGGCATGATGCCAACTTCACTATAAAGAAGCACTCAGGCTGGGTGGCGATGGCGTTCACCTTTTAATCCCAGCACTTGAGAGGCAGACGCAGGCAGATCTCTGTGAGGCCAGCCTGGTCTACAGAGCAAGTTCCTGGACAGCCAGAGCTACACAGAGAAACCCTGTCTCAAAAAAATAAACAAAACAACAACAAAGAAGTATTTGGGTTTTTTGACCTTTATTTTTTCATTTCCCTGGTAGTTTCCTGGAGATAGTGTGGTCACTGGACGGGGCCGAATCAATGGAAGATTGGTTTATGTCTTCAGTCAGGTATGTCCTAACTCCAGTACATGAGGCTTTCCTGAAGGTAGAACCAGGAACAAAATATGCGATAGAAAACAATTTGGGGGAATGAAATCTTGCTTATAGTTTGGGGCTGTATGGAGGATCCAGGTGCAACCTGAATGGAAAAAATTGATTCTTAAAAGCACAAGTTGGGGCTGGAGAGATGGTTCAGTGGTTAAGAGCAGTGGCTGCTCTTCAGAGGATCTGAGTTCAATTCCCAGCACCCACATGGTGGCTCACAACCATCTGTAATGAGATCTGGTGCCCTCTTCTGGCCTGCAGGCATACATGTAGGCAGAACACTGTATACATAATAAATCTTAAAAAAAAAAAAAAAGCAGGAGTCCCTGAGCTCTGGGATTTTTTTTTTAAAGTATCCAAATTTGTGAAGTTCCATCAAGAGAGATGTAGTTGGTGTACACTGAGACCCAAGGTGGACCTTGTGGGCAGAATAAACCTATGTCATATCCAAATTGCTTGTTAAAAGATTGCTATTTTATGTGTATGGTTGTTTTGCCTGCAAATATGTCTCTGCACCATGTGTATCCCTGGTGTCTAAGGAGGCCAGAAGAGGGCATCAGAACTCCCTGGAACTGGAGTTACAGATGGTTATAAGTACCAGGTTGGTGCTGGGAATCAATCCTGGGTCCTCTGGAAGAGTAGCCAGTTTTCTTAACTGCTGTGCCATCTTTCCAGCCCTGAATGTCCAAATCTTAATCTCCAGAAGCTATGTATTACCTGATAAGGTAGAGAAGAATCAAGGTTCTGATCAAGTGACCTTAGGATAGTATGGCCTGGGTTACCCAGGTGGCCTAATGTAATCACAAGGGTCCTTAGAAAGTGGAATGGAAAAGCTGGGTGGTGGTGGCACACACCTTTAATCCCAGCACTTGGGAGGCAGATACTGAAGGATCTCTGTGAGTTCAAGACCAGCCTGGTCTACAAAATGAGTTCTAGGACAGCCAGAGCTGTTATACAGAGAAACCCTGTCTCAAAAACAGACAAACAAAAAATAAAACGAAACAAAAACCAGAAGAAAGGTGAGAATAATGCAGTGTGAGGAGGACTCCACCTGCTGTGTCAGGCTTTGAAAACAGAGGTGAATTCTATGAGAAGAGGAATGGGAGCCATCTCTAGAAGCTTAGGGAAGGCAAACAGGCTGCCCTTGAAGCCTGAGAGGTCACAGACCTGTTGACCTTGGCTGTAGTCCAGTGAGGCCCCTGAGAGGGAACTTCTGCACCACAGAATGTGAGATAATAAAAGTGTGCTGTCTTAAGCCCATGATTTGAGTTAATGTGTTAGAGCAGCAATAGACACAGGACATTTTGTGTGCTATTTCATAATAGATTTTTCTACTATTGCGTCTGCCAAATGTTGAAGATCACTTTTTCCCCCAATTTTTATGAACTAGCAGGACAAAAATTAATAAAGAAGGTAACATAGAAATGATAGAACAAAGAATGCTACTGTGTTTTCTGGCCATGATGTCTGACTACTTAAAGCCAGTGCAGAAATTCTAATTCGTCGTATTTTTGAGTACCTTCTCTGCTCATGGAGTAAGTGGGGGTGAGGAAGAGATGGCG